AAATAGAAACTCTATAGGCACTCAAACATTTTACTGTTTTTTTTCAGGCAGGTGGCAAGACCCCCTCCACAAAACCCTTGTATGCCAAGCTGTGGGCAGTGATTCGTCAAATATCCGTATATTCACAGCGAAGTAAATTATTCTCGCAGTAATTAATTTATTTATTATATTTATTACTATATTTATTATACACGTGTAAATAAATTAATTACTGTGAAAATAATTTACTTCGTACACTGTGCAGAGTGCCGTATACTCGTAGTTGCGGCACACACGATACATACAGTAAAAAGCCTCAGGCACTGTGTTAGATGTGTTTTCGACGTTATATATGCGTTTATTAATGTCATCGATTTTACGGTTGCAATTCGACGTTGATTATACGTCGCGGCGACGTATATATACGTATAGCCGTATTTTCGCCGTGAATATACGTATATTCGACGAATCACTGCCCACTGGGCAGAGGAAAGTCAAAACACAAAGGAACAAAAGACAGTGCATATTGATAGTCCAACTCAACTAACCTTTTAGGCTGAGGAGCAGCTTATATCAATTGTAAGCCCCTCCCCGTGGAATAAACCATTATCCTAATTATTTTTAATTTTCCACACAAAATGTTTCACAATTCATTCAGTCTGGTCATAATAATTTCCAAAACAAAAGAAGAAAGAAAAAAACAGATGTATCCAAAAATAACATTTACATCTTCATATTTTACCCTTTACCCAAGTAAAAGTAAAAATGGAATCATTCCATTGAAACCTGCATGAGGTTTTTCCTTTACACGCTATATATATGCCTTTAGAAGTAGGGGTTAGTTTTGGACCATTGTCGTCACCATAGGCTGACAACATGACAGGACCAGGAAGTCTCGAACAACAAACAAACAATAAGTACCACACAAATGGAGAGCGCTGTCCATTCACACGATCGCAACATAAAAAATGGTCTATACAATATGCATGCTTATATGGGTATGTATCTGGATGCCATTATGCCTCAAATTAACAACTGAAGTCTCCAGCCAAGCCCTGAGTGTGCCCCCTCAGGAGTTAGCTAGCAACTGGCCGGTGGAATGTATGTATTTATCACTCTGCAGCAGCCATATCACTCTGCAACTCACCACTGGCAACCCACTGAAGCTAAGCAGGTGTGACCCTGGTCAGATGGGAGACCTCCTGGGAAAAACTAAGGTTGCTGCTGGAAGAGGTGTTAGTGAGATCAGCAGGGGGCGCTCACCCTGCAGTCCATGTCGGTCCTAATGCCCCAGTATAGTGACGGGGACACTATACTGTAAACAGGCGCCGTCCTTCGGATGAGATGTAAAACCGAGGTCCTGACTCTCTGTGGTCATTAAAAATCCCAGGGCGTTTCTCGAAAAGAGTAGGGGTGTAACCCCGGCGTCCTAGCCAAATGTCCCATTGGCCCTTACCAATCATGGCCTCCTAATAATCCCCATCTATAAATTGGCTTCATTACTCTGCTCTCCTCCCCATAGCTGATGTGTGGTGAGTGTTCTGGCGCACTATGGCTGCTGTCGCATCATCCAGGTGGATGCTGCACATTGGCGGTGGTGGAGGGGAGTCCCCATTACCTGTAAAAGCGCTTTGAGTGGAGTGTCCAGAAAAGCGCTATATAAGTGTAAGCAATTATTATTATTATTTGTGTGATTTTCCTGTGCTACCCATGCCTAGTGACATCCCTCTGTCACACTTAGAGAATCCCTGAGAATCAGACTAACTAGCTTTAACAGAAAGCAAAGGGTTTTAACAAAAACCTCCTTGCTCTCCAAAATAAAAGAAATACAGTTTAAACTATCAGAATAAAATAAAGAATGGGACTGGGATACAATTTCACATTTACCATTATGATACAATGAGTCACTGATAGAAAAACAGAATTTGCATGAAATAAAGCATAGTTAATCTCCTGTCAAGCACTCCTGGAGTGGATGCACCTTTAAATAACTACAGTACAGACCTGTACAGGCAGCTAGATATAAAATATGCTTCAGGCACAAAGGAAACTCAATGTCAAAAGACTCCTAGAACAGATGTACCATTAAATAAGTATAATGCAGGCCTGTACAAGCAGCCAAAATAAAAGCAAAATGCTTCAAGCACAACATTTAACACTGTCCCCAGAGGAAACTGAAGGGCAACCCATGTAACCCTAACCTTCAGATTTTTTATGTGTCTTACTCAGTACAGACATTAGAAACAAATATCCAGGACAATGTGACTTCTACATTGGATAAATATTTGAGTAATTGAACAGATATAAACAATTCTGCATCATTTTTCATGAAGGCTGGACCTGGAACGATTTTCTCCGCATTCCAAGAAATGTCAAATAAATAACAGAAAATAATGAAAAGTATACATTATTCATTGTTTATTTCTATTGCTTATTGAGTCATCAATTATTTCTTCATTTATAATACCTAAGATCTGCAAGATATCTTGATCCTTTGATGCCTCATTGTCTTTAAATCAATCACTTTTTAGACTACCAAGATTAAGTATACAGTCTAAGCCAATCAACGGGCCAGTATGGTTTCAGGGAGGTGTTAGTAAGATGGAACACATAAGTGATAATCAAACATCTCTCCCAAGGAAAGAATTTTATAACTATGCGGTACTAATATCTTACAAAAACATTTTCTCAGCAATTCGATGATTACAGGAACAAATTATGACAGACAATTATTATATACAAGTGAAGGCTCTGACTTTTTACAATTTGCTCAATGCAAACTCAGACAGGTATTTAACAGTAGTGTGTCTCGCTGGGTTAGCTGATCTCTTTGTGGTGTCTGGCACAGTGCCAGTTATACAACAGAGTCATACACAATAAACTGCTTTTATATAAAAATTTGAATAGACTTTATTATACTCCCCAAAACCTGGCAAAAGGCACAGGAATATATGCAAAATTTAATGTTCATAAAGGATCATTGCTGCATTTACTGTAGATCTGTCAGAACATACAATCTTTCTGAACATTCACTGTGGAGAAAGACTTCAATCTCATTTATTCCTTTTATTTGCATCCTAGAACTATCAAAAGTACCAGTTCATAGAGATAAATTTCACAGCCTTTATATCATTGCTAAAACATAATCTTGGAAAAACAGGTGGATAGTACAGAACATTTTTACAAAACATCATTTAACAAGGTTGTAAGACAGATAAAAGAAAATATATCATATAGTCTACAGTGAAAAAAAATAATGAATGTAAGCATGTATGGAGCCCATTAGAAGTATTTTTGAAAAGTGCAGAATATTGATAATAATGTAGGAATTGTTTTGGTTTTTTTTGTCTTCCTCTCCTGATTTTTCTACACCTTGCATTTTCCCATTGGTAAGATATACAGTATTTTACACTATATAGAAAATGAACACTTTTAGTCAGGTTCTCTGTGAATAAGGTACAGTGAGTTTATTATGTATGTATAAAGGATTGGTGTAGCCACAAAGTAGCGGTGAAATTCAAAGTATGAGTCAGAGTGTGCTAATTTGTAAAATGGAAGTTTCTTATTTTGTATGGTTTGCTTGATGTTTTTTGGTTCTGTAATATTCTATGATTTTACTTATATTTTATTGTTTATGGTGTAGTGGTATGTCTTTTGTTTGCTTATGGTGTAGTGGTATGGCCATTTTATTATTTTTTCAGTAAAAAATGAGTCAGGGTGTCCCCGTTCATATATACACAAACTGTAAGACTAAGCACAGAAGATGAAGAGATTCCTGATAATTGGCACCACCACCCATCCCCTAAGGGAGCAATCAACATATCTGTGTATTAAGCAAGAACATTTGTGAAACAGACAGCTTATTTACAATCCACATGTCCACCCCCACCAGCCCTGGAGCATCTTGTTATTGTTAAGGTTTGGCATACTTTAGTTCCAGTTTTGCTGGATCACTGCCAGAGGGTGTACTCAACTAGGTTTACAACATCTCTTGTTTCTTACGCAGCCTATCCTGCCCAGCAACAATTAGGGGCTCCAAGAAGCTCTTAACCCTTTCCTTCAGCACCAATCATCTTACCAAATAATGAAAATAAATGAAAAGAAGGAAGGAAATATTGAGAAGTTGAAATGAATGTAAGAATTGTGGAAAGTTATTTGAGAAAGAGAAACTGGAGGGTGCTGGTAAGGGAAAAAAACACCCAGGGGGGGAAATTAAGACTTGCTGGAGCGTCTACTGTGTATCTGTCAGCTGGCAATTTATTGATAGAGACCCAGGGGGAAAATTAAGGCATTTATTGATAAGAGCCCAGGAGGAACTGGAACCTGGTGCTGGGAAACAATGTATGGCCTGGGAGGGATATGGGAAGCTCTGACACACCTCTCAGTGAACATTGTCTCCGGTCATTAAGTGCTCATTGGCTGGTACCACTTCTAGCAGGTGGGGATATTATTTCCCTTTACTGTATATATAGTGATGCCCCATTTTACATCAGCAACTACTTATAGGAGGAGAAGAAAATCAGAACTTCACTCTCTATCTTGCAGCACAATAACTGTAAGTAACTTTTTGTATTTTTTATTTCTGTCCTGTCTTGCATAACTGTATCTGCATGATACAATTCTGTTTAATCTGCATTTCACTTGACCTTTTGAAAGCATCTATCTGCATTAGTATTCAAGGATCTTATTCAAGTAATAATTATTTTTGTTTTAAAATAATGATTATTTGACAGAACTAGCTGTAAAGTGCAGGAAAATGTATACACTTTTATATATGTAATGTTAAATGTTTTATAAAATGTCACTACATTATGTTCTGCTCAGATGTAAGCATTTCTGAGCCCCAGTGTTATAAAAAGAACTTTAAATAAACTCAATGTCATAAAAAAGAGTAAGACTCCCGGATGAAATCAGTAAAGTCCCTTGAGTTTACAATTAAATTAAGTGATATACATTTTCAGGTGATATGTTACTCACATTTATGGGAAAACAAAACTTAAGCATACAAAAAAATATATAAACTACTAGTATTTTAATGCAAATGAATGAAGTCAATAGAAGATTTATAATATTGTCCATCCATGCATTTTCTAACCACTTTATTTAGAATGGGGCTAAAGGTGATGCCAGAGACTAATCCAGCAAGCAATGGACACAAGGCACACTCAACCACAACATACCAGAGACCAATTGTTTTTCCCCAGAAGTCCATTAACCCACTAGTATGTCTCTGGAGTCTGAGAGGAAAGCACAGCATCAGATCAGATAAATAACACAAATAGCATCCTGGATCCAAACTCAAACCTAGGGCCCCAGAGCTGCTAACCAATGCACCACAGTGCTGCCTTAATAAAATGTCTCCACTTACACTAATCTCAATTATAATTATCAGCTTTTAAGTATTCATGTTTTATTAGCTCATTTAATTATTATACTAAATTAAAATATTAAATGTATTAAAGTGTTCATCTTACACAAGTTCACTTGTCTTATAATTCACAGGAACAAAAAACTACCTTCATAAAAATATGTTTTAAGACAGTAGTTTAAAGTCACTTTTTCCAGTAAATAATACCCCAAATTTTCACTGTTTTAAAGTCCAAAGTGTTCACTCATTCTTTCTCTAATATGAAAACTGTTATTTATATTATTAAAAGTCACAAAATGCAAGATATTTTTGCTCTTAAGGACTGGATATGTATTTTTTTTCCATGAATACTAAACTATTTAAGATTTAAGAAGTGTGGCTTTACCTTACGTGTCAATAAAACATGGATACTGGTTCATTATCCTTTATTAACTGAACTTTTAACATAGAAGAATTGTTTTTTTCTCTTCTAGGTTAACTGTAATGAAATATATAGTACCCAATGATAAACAAAACATTATATAAGGAAAGATATGGGGCCTCCCTATTAACAGATATTTTTAAATTATTACTTGGTTTACAGAAATATTACCATTGGAGCTAAATTTCACATGATACAACAAGGAAAAATATTTCTTACACAATAACATTCTTTAATTAGGATCAACAAACTGAGTAACAACAACAATTGCTGAAATGCTATACTCTAAACTTGCAGCGAGTTGAGAACTCTTTGATGTTTTATCAAATAAAATGGACATGATAATTAAAAGAATAGACAAAGTGGAATGGAAATTAAAGAAGCTAGCTCACAGCTTAATAATGTATTGACATAAAAGCTGAAAATGATGTTTTATATACTATAATTATACCAGCTTATGGTGGTACAGTATACTGTGTATATTCTACCTATATTAAACCATTAGGACCAACCTAATATTAAACTATTCCACTGGAACCTCAAGGGCATCACATACCTTAGGATTCAGGTGATCAAGTAATCTTGCATCTGTACTCTGTAAATTCTTATTTTTTTGTTCCTCTCTTTATACAGAATATTATCTTCACTAGTAGGCAATGCTGACCTACCCTGAAATACCACCTAAAAAGGTGACAGATTACCACCTTACATTCAAATAGAAATTTACACTTTAAATTCAAATAGAATTTCTGACCTATTTGGAAGAGGGGAATTATTTGAGTGTCTCCAAGTACAATAAAATATAATAACAAGACACTAACAAGAGTACGATATACTGACAAGTATCTCCAGGTCACACATTATGTGGTCATCAAGAACAATGGTGTTGTTTTTTTCAATGGTGTTGAGTGGGAACTCAAAAAAGTTTTTATCCAGGTTTTACACTCTCTTGTGTAACTTGGATGAGGCAGTTTCCCTAAAATGCTTACATACAACTTGGATCTGACAACTGGGGTGCTGTATACTGATACTTGGAAAGCTATTCTTCTGTTGCCTTCAACAATCTCTGTCAGTAAACAATATAAAAAAATAGTTCAGGTGGGTAGCTGCGTCAGCATGCGTAGGCTGCAAAGGAACAAGTAATAGGTTTATTCCATGCTGAAAAAAAGAAGAAAGAGAACACAACGTTTCGGCCGTGGAGCCTTCTTCAGGTGTGAGAGAGACAGGGCAGTAGGCAAAGGTAAAGTAGCGGGAGAACAAAGGTTGAGAGGGAGGAGGAGTGAGAGGCGGGAGCAGGGGACAGAAAGAGAGGCCAATCAAGAGGTGTGAAGTCAGAATGGGTGCAGAGAGGTGTGAAATGAAACTTCCAATGAATGGAGAAAATTTAAAAGAACAGTAATCTGTCGTTAAGGGAAGGGAGAATGTGTGATCCTAGCTGCAGAATAATTTTAGTTTCGGTGGTCTTTCTGATGTATGAGTTCGGAAAACCGTCTTTGAGAACACAGACGGAGAGATTAGAGTGGTCGTGGCCGTCAGAGGTGAAATGAGAAACAATGGGCTTGGAGAGATCTTTAATCTTCACAGCCCTGACGTGTTCTCTGAAGCGGTCTCCGAGTCTCCTTCCTGTTTCCCCAATGTAGATGGCTGGGCATTTACTGCAAGAGATACAGTAAATAAGGTTGCTGGAGGTACAAGATGCTGTCTGGGTGATCCGGAATTGTCCTGAGGGGCCTTGAATGAGTGTGGTGGTGGCTGTGTACTTGCAGGTGATACAGCGAGCTCTTTTGCAAGGGAAAGTGCCTGGTGTGGATGGTTGCTGAGGGCGGTCAAGGGAGCTGTGGACAAGGAGGTTACGCAGATTAGGTGGTCGGCGATATGAGATGATAGGGCGATCAGAAAAGAGGGCCCCAATGGAGGGATCATCCTGTAGGATGGAAAAGTTGTGGTTAATGGTCCTGGGGATAGGAAGTGTGTTAGGGTGGTAAGGAAGCACCAAAGGAATGCGGTTGTTACGGCGGGAGTTCCTGATCGGGTTGATGGTCCGGGGGGTGTTTTTGGCTCGGGCAAGGGCCCTGTCAATCACACTGCTGGGGTATCCTCTGTTGATAAAAAATGAGTACATTTCGAGGGCTTGGTTTTCGAAGTCGATGTCGTCGCTGCATAATCGTCGTAACCTAAGGAACTGTGAAAAAGGAAGAGAGTTTTTAGTGTGGTTGGGGTGAAATGAGCTGTACAGGAGGTAGCTGTGTGAATCCGTGGGTTTGTAATAAACTGAAGTGGACAGTCGGGGGTAGTTGATAGACAAGTGGATGTCTAGAAACGGAAGAGTGGTGGAATAGGAAGAGTGGTGGAAGAAATGTTAACCGTATATTTGAGGGACAGGTGGAAGTTGGTGAAATGGTGCAGGAAGAATTCAAGCTGATCGTTGGAGCATGTGGCGGCACACTTGTGTAAAAGTATGAAAGGCAAAATGTCAGGACCTCGTGTCAATGAATTGATACTTGGAATAGTGAATGTTCAATCACTATCATGCCCATCATCCTATGGGCTATGATCCTGTGGGCTATGATTTAATGTTTTTGCAGATTTTCTTTTATAAACCCAAATGAAAAAACACTTGGTTTGGATATTCTGTGTTAATGATAGAATGATAATACTTAGGATAATTAGACAGCTCTGCATAAAGTGCTCTTTACGCTGTTGCAATAAAGAGTGACTAGACTTGACTTAACACTGTAAAAATGTAGCAAATGCTAACACAACCATGAAAATCCTGATGTTGTTTTAGGTGACTTAATCTTTCTGTTCATTCAATTTTCAGAAAAGAAGATGGAAGGCATCATTCCAAAGAGCAAAGCCAAAGGTGTTGATTTCTGTGGTGTGGATTCAAATTATTATATAGTACGCTCTGATCTTGGCTGTTACATGTGGTCAACAAATTTCCATCGGGGTAGCGACCTTAAAGTTTACAGCTTGCACCCCTCCTGTCAGGGTGGAGACCACTACCTTGCCTATGACGACAACACATTTTACATCATCAAGGGCAACGTTTATCGCCGTGTGTCCAATATGAGTGCTGACACTGATGCTGTGGTGTATGACCTCCACCCAAACTGTCGTGGAGGTGACCACTATCTGTCTGCTTATGGAAATTTCTATATTATCTTTAAGAGCAGAGGCGTGTACCGCCGAACTTCCAATATGAACAAAGATAGTGATGCAGTAGAATACACCCTGCATCCCAATTGCAAGGATGGCCTGTATTACTGGGGCACAAAGAGCTACACTTACTTTGTCAAGCCAAAAGATCAGTGGGGAATCCAGTACCACAAAACCGATAACCTTCACGAAGATACTAAGGCAGAGACATTCTCAATTCATCCTGATGTAGTCGACTTCCTGCCTGGAGGGCTGGGTGAGACTTATGGCCCAGCATTTGGGAAATGGGAGCTCATTAAGACCATTGCCAATGATTCTGAAACTCCCATAACCTGGGAAAAAAAGATAACCCGGAAAGTGGGCTACGTCAAGTCCAAGATGTCAAGTATAGAGCACAACTGGAAAGTGTCAATGAGCGCTACGTATCAGTCAGGGACTCTGACTGAAAGCATTGCCAAATTCCAATTCTCGTTGTCAGCAGAATATGGCGGGAAAAGTGTCAACACAGAAGGCGAAAACTGGGAAGAGGCAACTGAGGTAGCAGAGAGTGTGAACCTGACTCTGAAGCCCCACCAAAAAATATATGTGTGGCAGTACAAGCTTGGCTTTGGCAAGGAAGATGTCCTGTTTTGCCGTGACATGAGATTTGATGATGATCCTACACCACCTACTGACATTCCTCTCCCACCAGCCAGAAAGTAACATCTTGCTGATTCTCTGGATGTGTGAGGTGTTATCTTTCAGGGTTCTTCAGGGTTAGTCATACTGTAGCTTGCATTAGGGATGAGGCTTGAATCAATACCGGAAGTGGTTTATTAATAAGAAAGCTTTTTTTGTAAATTACTTGCTGAGAAATAGAATGATAGAAGTAATGTTTATCATTATCTAAGTTTTAGGAAGGAGAATAATACAAAGCAATATACTGTAGGATAAAGTGCTGGTGTGACAAGAATTATCTTAACCTACGTAACCAAAAGTACTAATCATTAAATCTGTTTACCATTGATTACATTTACATCTATAGATTCTTACATTTAAAAAAACAACTGTTTATAAAATTGTTATTCTGTGATTTCATTTATTTCTTAATAAATTGTGACATTGCATTGACCTTGTTAACACTCTGTTTAATCTTTTTTTTATATTAAATAACATTAAGATAACTTAATAAGTTAAAAAGTATGTAAAGGCTTCAGCTCCCCACTGCAGTCGTTAGAAATGAGATAATAATAATAATAATAATAATAATAATAATAATAATAATAATAATAATAATAATAATGTATTATTTAGGCCTCACTCAGAAACCTTCAGGGTATCATTTGAGGTAGTTGCCATAGGTAGGCTAAGAGGGAGGAAACACAGAACAGGCTAGATTTTGGTGTTTATTATTAATTCTGTTAATTAACTTCATAGTCAATAATTTAAACATTAAACTTTTAAATTGCAGTCACATCCGCCATCCTCAATCAATTACTTTTGAGAGGATAAAAACTGGTGAAAGGTGTCTTACATATTTTTTATGTTTCTTTAAGAGTTTTTACTTAGCTAACTTTTAAAAGTTTCCTCCTTATGAAGACTGCATCTTTTGGAATGTACCCAGACCACCCACACAACTAAATTGGATTTCCTTCTATAGTGTGTAGTAATAGCCTAAGAGCCTAATAGAGAGAGTGAATCTCCAGAGCCATATCAGATTCAGTGCCACAGGGCAATCCCTACATCCAGACCAGCAGCAGAGACAGACTCAAACCGGGAGAAAAACAGCATTACCTGAGCCTCATCTGCACACGGCTCATGAAACAAACCACTATCACGAATTAACATAATAATAAACCATTTTCTAAATATGAATATAATTTGCCTCATTCCAGAAAACATAAAATACAGTAATTGTATTACAGAATAAACCTGTTATAAGCATTAGCTTTAGGGCTAAAGTGCACAGATCCTGAGTTCAAAAATATAAAGGAGACAGACAACATAATACTTTAAGAGACATGGTATCAGGGAGACATGTCCGTCCAGTGTCCCCCAGGCTACAAGGAGATCATAGTGCCCTCTGTTAAAAACCCTCAATCCCTCAGGCAGAGATTGTGATGGAAATATTGGATGGAACAGAGCAGAGCTCAGTGTCTCCATATACCCTATAAAGAGAGGACAGTGTGGTGAATGCTGACCCTCAGGCCACTGACTATGGCCCTGAGCCAATCTGTCATCTGATTTTACATGTGTGGTTGGGTGGTCTGTCACTGGCATGCAAAACCCCTCTAGACTCCTATGATGTACTGGTGGTCACCTTTCAGAGAAACCTGCTCTCTTTGTAACTACGAAAATCAGATTGTCTCATAGAAGTATTAATTAGAAAAATCTCTTTGGTTCCTCTTCATTTTCTGTTCATCAGCTCTTCAAAAATCTAATTCAAAAAAGAATTAGACTAGATTAATTACAGTTGAAGACACCATTTCCTTTCTTTGTCTAAAAAAGTATAAATTCTTTTAGATTCTCTTTATATTCCAAACATTTGTAATAATTTCCATGTGAGAAGTGAATTTTTACCCTTCACCAATTAGTCAATTATAACTTAGCAGCAGTTAGATTCCTTTAGCAGCCTCTAGTGGAGTTTCACAACTTTTGAGGAAAATTATTGTCACGATTATAGTCCCCCCTCCTTAAGGGTGCTCCAGCCCTTTCACTAAAGACTTTATTCTGCGCACCTGTTTCCCATTCCCAGCCCACCTTAAAAGACAGGCGCTGATGCTCATCCGGGCTCTGCTCTGATTTCCATATCGTGCGAGTCCGGGACCAGGAAGCGCCTGGTCCCGTTAAGGTTTTAACCTCTGTTCCCGTTCCTGTTCCCCGTCCGCCGGTTCTGACCCGGTCTTCGTGGTTTTTAATTCTTTGTTCTGATGGATCTCCTGGTTTTGGGCTTACCCTTGTGTTTTGGATATTCCTAGGACTACTCTTTGGATTGTTCGCCTCGGCCACACCTCCCCCGTGCACCAGCGCACCTTGGACACGCCCCCTTGTCTTCAGCCCCGTTTTCCTGCATGACGTTTCGCTAGTGTTTCCCCACTCCGTCGGACTGTGTCGTCCGCATAGGGTCCGGAAAGAATTGTTCGTTACAATTATGCGATGCGATTGATGATTAAACCTCAAGATGTTTGAGAAGGTTGCATCTCACAGTTGCATCAGCATGCGTAGGCTGCAAAAGGAATCGGTTAAGGCTCAATCTGTTATAGGATTTGATTTAAATATAGAATTTGCTATAACATTTCATTTTGGAGTGACATTTGATCCAGGCTTGACGTTTCAGAATAGTGCAAATTATTGACAGAAATTCTTCAATCTCAGATATATTGAATGCGTCTCTGACTTGCTGATGTGAGGTTTAGGGGAAATGCAGGTGTGTCTGCCTGCCGCTCCTCTCGTCAGTTTTCAATTTTCTTGTTTTTATTTATTTAATACCGTAACGCTACGGGGTTCACGTGGGCACCCTCGCCTGCTGCTGCATCAGGTCAGCCCCGCACCGTTGGGGACTCAAACCCAGGCCTCTGGCGTCACTCAACAGGGACCCAGCCTGTTGAGCTAAAGAGAGATCTCCCCCCAGCCCAGCGGCTGCGGGCCCTGCTATTCACAGGGAAGGGCCGTGACGTCACCATTCTGGTAATCCGGCTCTCACAATCAATGGTGACCGTATGCGTTACATTGGTGTCAGGAGTGGGATTTAAACCCACGCCTCCAGGGAGACTGCGAGTTAAGTGGTGGAGAGCCAACGGTGGGGGCCGACCTGATGTGGCGGTGGAGAGGGCGCCCACGTGAACCCCATAGCATTACAATACGTTTTTTCCTCCTTTCCCATTGCTTTTACTACTTTAATAGGATTATGTTCCCCACCTACTGTAGCCATTTCTTTTTGCACATTTTATACTATTTGGAGTTCCAACATGATTCTGATCTATTGCCAGCTTTCCACATCTGTGCTGTTGAACTGAGTACTCTTCAAAACCACTTTATACTCTCCGGATCCAGGATTTCCTTCCTGGTTTTTGTGTCGTCATCCAAGATTCCACCAAAACGCTCATAAGATACTCCCCTATTTAATAGAATGATTTTCTGGTAAATCTACATATGAGTATTGTGTTATCAAGATCCTGCATCCAATGAGATATATCCATCGCAGCAGTAGTGGTTGCCTTTTTCTTCCTTCTCCACTTGTGGAGGTACTGTGTCTGCTTTCTGCACAAGGCTATTAGATTGTCCCACAGTGGTGCTGACCTCAGCAATCTAATCTCCCTTCAGTCCCTGGAATGCACTACTTTTTCCAACAGACCCCCTTGGTCTACTGAAACCAGCTAGATCAGCATTACTCAACACCTGATCCATGAACAACAGACTGTTCTGTTATGACTTCATCAAAGAGACAAATTCAATTTCCCATGTTTGACTTCAACCTGGCACAAACATAATGATGGGCTCTTGTTTAACAAGAGTGTTCTTCTGGGTTACAGTTTATTTCAACAGTCTTGACCTTCTGGCAGTGATGGGGACATCATTGATATTTACAGTATAATCCCCTTTTTCTGTTTAAGTCCTATCACTGTACCTCTATCTAACCTACTCTTTCTTTGGAACATGCTGTTACAATTAAGTTACTTGCAAGTAACATATCTGAACCCCAACTACACTGCACTGCAAATGTTTAGAGTAACTAACAATCTTATTATAGCTTCTGATTTTAATTCTCTTCCTGTTTTTTATTTTTCTTGACCTCAGTGATTTTTTTAACACTGTTAACCACAATCTCTTACTTTTTCATCTTCAGACTGTTTGGAGTTTCTGATATTGCTCTTAAATGGTACAAGTCTTACCTCACTGATTGACATCGCTTTGCCTATCTTGGTAATTTGAGTTCTGAAATTGGACTCACTGGGCCCCCAAGTCTTCAGCACTTACATGTTCCCACTTGATCAGTTATAAAGATCACATGGCCTAGATTATCATTTCTATGCTGATGACACTCAGTACTAAACCTTACACTAAACTGGCTGCCTCTGTTCTCACTAATTGCATCTCTGACATAAAACATGGATGACTCAAAACTTCCCTCATGTAAATCCAATCCAGTAACCCTATCTGTACTGTACAGAAGGTAATACTTGATCCAGGCTTGATTTTTGACCCTCATGTGCAACATATTACAAAAACATCTTTCTTTTGAAAAATAATCAGAAAATTCAGACTGTCCTATGTTGTTACTAACTGTTGATGAAAAGCTAGTCAACATTTTCTTTTTTTTCTCTCTCATTAATTACTGTAATGCCCTTCTCACCGGGGTATCTAAATACACATTAAACATACTAATGTACAGGTATGTCCAGAATTCGGCACCCAGAATCCTGACCAGGTCTTGTGTAATCTTCTGTGATCACATTACACCTATCCTGGAGTCCTTGCATTGGCTTTCTATCAGGTTTTGTGTCAAATTCAAAATTCTCACCTAGAAAGCTTTACATGACTGGGCACCTCAGTACCTGCCTGAGTTATTATCATTTTACTCCCCACCTCAAATCTTTCGTTCGTCTAATTCTGTCTCTACCCCAAGCCCTTTTACACTCTATGGCTGACAGGGCCTTCTCCTACTATGCTCCAAAGCTCTGAAATCTCCTTATGGGTATCAGAGAGTCACCTTCCCTGAGTTCCTTCAAATCTAGATGCAAAACCTTTTTCTTTACTTTAGAAGGGCTTTTATTTAACTGGTTCTCCATCTGCCCCTTTGTAATGCTGCTATCAGAGATAGTCATTTCGTTTGAGCTGAATAGTTTGAGTAAACTCTGTACACTCCAGGCAGATTGAATGAATATGTGCATTCCTACTACAGCTGCATATATGGAAAATCCAACATGAGGAATTCTTGTACTGGATTAATTTAAAGTCATTGCAGACATATTGATCTCCAGCAAAGATGATGGTGCAGCTTATGACATGACATGACCACATAAACAGGAGATAGTAGAGTTTAGGGTCTTTTGAGTTGCAAATACACTATAGCTTAAGATAAGAGAATGACAAAATATACTGCAACAACAGTCACAGTTATGGGCGG